CCAACAAAGAAAATGTCCTCCAATATATAAACCTTTCCTTAACTTTTACAATAACGGACTAATACAATATTTGTCCTTTTGTGACTGACTTATCAAACCATAGTGTTTGAGGTCATTTTTTACAACAGCAATAGGAAATAGACAGTGTCACTAATGAAACAAAATCAAACAGTAAGTCATTTAGGAATATATCTGTTGTTGTTTGTTATGTGCTATGGAGGCAGACCCAACTCATAGAGACCCCTCCTTGGGTTTCTGAGGCGGTATCAGTATGGAAGTAGATTGCTCAAACCTTCCTTCTGAGGAATGGCTGGTGGGTTTGAACCACCAACCTTCTAGTTAGCAGTCAAGTGCCTTAGGCACAATGCTATCAGTTCCTAGGGATGTATCTGCATGTGATGAAACCACTTTTAACAGGGAGGGATGTTGGAGACTAAGAAAAAGACCCCCAAAAGAACATGACTGCAAGGCACATGTTCTAATTACAGTTAAGAGATGTATGGTTGAATGATTGCTTTAAGAGATAGCAAGGCCTCTCTTATGGTTGAATGCTTGGCTTCAGCTTTGTGTTCCTGGGGCAGAACGTTGCCCCAGCAGAATGATTACTAACCTGTTTCCCTGGAATGACGTTTTGCCCAAAGAACAGTATACCTTAGAAACCATTCTTTAGAATCATGCACCTTAACAATCATGTTATGTTTTAAAATGAGGTATCTGAGTTATTCTTTGCCAATCCTGCAAGAGATGTTAACCTAATTAATTATCCAATACATTTGGACACGGGAAAATGCCTTTGGGTACAGGAAAGAGTAAAACTTTAACTTTTAATTAATAACTGATTGTTATAAGGAAATAATTGATTTTACTGTAAAACAATATTTGATTGAATACTTGATTGTTTTAAAGAAGTATCAAGAATAATAGTATAATCATATACTTATGTATAAATAAAGCAGAGCAGATACATTGAGGGTTGCTTTCGCAAAATATGCAGGGCGTCCACCTGGCCCCTGTTCATTTATAAAAAAGAAAACAATTAATCCTTTCATGTCGCTTTATTTCGTGACCTGTGCGGTTTTGCCGGATGCGGCAGAGGGCGTGATAAGTGCAATATTCAAAGTAGTGATCACCTCTGATCAAAGTAGAGGTGGGATGGGGAAGGAGCACGTGACTCAATTAATGGCTTTGGGAACATCTGAGTTCTTAAATTGTGTAGTTGGTTCACAGATACTCATTTAAGTGCTTTGCTTTGTACTTACCTATGTGGTACAAATATTCTTTGCATGCATCAAATACTACATAGTAAATGAATAACTAGTAAGTTTTGAAAATGAATAGACGTTAACTGGGTGAATGTGGAGGTCATGAGCATCTGTGCAAAGGTTCTGTAGTGGGAGGGAGCATGGAGCATCCAGCGAGGGAGCAACTGAAACCTTGTGGCTGGAGTACCGAGTGAGGAGAAAGCGTTTCAAGCTGAGTCAGGGAGGCAGGAAGGGGCCAGACCATGAGATCTGTTGCCATGTTATGAATCTGGTCCTAAAAAATGTATTAACCCATGTCACTTTAGTTCTGTGTATTTCACTGTACATAAATTATATTTCAATAGAATGTATTTAAAAAGAAAAAAAGAATCTGGCCCTCCATTCAAAGTGATACCACAGGTTTAACAGGGCCCTTTCCGTAACAGGACTAAGATCATCACCTGTCTCAGAATCCAACGCCACTCCTGTCTATCAGACCATCAGGGAAGGCAAGGTTTATATTCCCTTTAAAGATGGTCTGCAGCCAACTCCCATTTACTGAATACCTGTGACGTGCCAGAAACTTTCATAGGATTGAACATCAACAACCTGTTGCTGTTGCTGCTGGGTGTTGAGTTGTTTTTGACTCATAGCAACACCAGGTGACAGAGTACAACTGCCCCATAGAGTTTTCTAGGCTGTAATCTTTAGAGATTACAGATCATCAGGTTTTTCTTCCACAGAGCTGCTGGGTGGGTTCAAAACACCAACCTTTTGGATAGCAACTGACTGTTCAACCATTGCACCAGGGATTCTCTAAACAACCTTTGCTGTTGTTATGTGCCACTGAGTCAATTCCGAGTCACAGCAACCCTATGGGGCACAGTAGAGCTGTCCCATAGATTTTCCTAAGCTGAACTCTTTACAGGACTAGATTGACAGGTTCTTTCTTCCACAGAGCGGCTGGTGGGTTTGAACCACTGACTCTGGTTAGCAGCCACTGCCCACAACAAACTTGTTGTTGTTGTTGTTTTTGTTATGTGCCGTCGAGTCGGACCCGACCCATAGCAACCCCTCCTTCGGTTTCCGAGGCAGTATCACTACGGAAGTAGATTGCCCCATCTTCCTTCCGAGGAGTTGCTGGTGGGTTTGAACTGCCAGCCTTCTGGTTAGCAGTCAAGTGCCTTAGGCATTATGCCACCAGAAGTGGTAGATATTAGAAGCCCTGGGTTGCAAATGAGAACTCAGACATTTAGAGAAGTCAAGGGGCCTGCTGCTACGAAGTGGTAGAGGCAGATGGAAGACAGGCTTGTATAACTTCAAGTTGGTGCCCTTTCCCAACACAATGCCATCCAGTATGATGACATCTTGAACATGGTGAAGACTCAACAAGCTTTGGTGTGCACCTAGTAGGCACTGAGTAAGGCTTTGCTACTGCTGCTGTGCTGCTGATGATGGTGATGATGACATGACAATACAGGAGAAAAGGCTCATGTCACCTCCAAAACTATGTGCAACTATGGACTACAACATATTTTAGGTGGTGGGACAAGAGGCCATCCTCCTGGGAGGAAAGATTACAGTTACAGTTACAGAGTCAGAGAGAGAACATTGTATAGTTCTGGTGGCATAATGGCTAAGCACCCGACTGCTAACCAAAAGGTTGGTGGTTTGAATCCACCCAGTGTCTCCACAGGAGACAGACTTGGCAATGTGCTCCCATAAAGATTATAACCTAGAAACCCCTGTGGAACAGTCCTAGTCCGTCCCGTGGGGTCACTAAGAGTTGAAATCAATGCAACAGCAACTAACAACAACAGCAGAAAGAATCCAAGACCATAGATGTACCCCATTTCTGACTGTCACTAAAGACATGAGCCTGGCAAGGAAGGTAACCCCCCTGAAATTTTTCTCCTGTAAAATAAGAGGAATATTAAAAGATAATACCACTTACTGTAGCATAACTTAGTATGTGGCCCACACTGTTTGAAGGTTTTACACATATTAACCTTTACTAAAGAAGCCCTGTTTCACCCAAATCACAATAAACTAAATAACTAACTAAATAGGCCCTGGTGGCACAACAGTTAAGTGCTCGGCTGCTAACCAAAAGGTTGGCTGTTCAAACTCACTCGGCGGGCTCTGTGGGCGAAAGACCTGGTAACCTGCTTCCATGAAGATTACAGCCGAGGAAACCCGAAGGGCAGTTCTGCTCTGTCGCATGGGTTATTATAAAAGAAAGATCACCTTGAAGGCACCCAGCAACCACCACCTTATTTAATGAACTTAGGCATTTAATCCTTGCACTAACCCCAAGGGTAGATACTGTTATCACTGTCATCTTTCATTTCAGGAAACAGAGGCACAGGTTAGGTAATTTACCCAGTCAGTGGGAAGGGCACAGAGGAGGAGAGGGCACGGGGTAGAACTGGAAGGTGCAGACCCAGGGTGCTCCCTTTACCGGAACACGAAGTCGGCGCTGTTGATCTCCCTGCCACAGCGGCTGTTCTTTAGGATCCCTCCGTTGCCCACCACTGCACACTTCTTAAACTGGGACCTGTAGTAAGGCATGTCCTGGGGGAGACAGACACAGGCACAGCTGTCAGCCCAGCCCCGGCCTCATCTGGTGCTCACCCTCTGTAACCATGTGCCCCTCTCATCCTGGCTCATGGCCCCATGGTGCAGTCTTATAGGGAACGTGGGAGCAGGATGGTTCTTCCATCTTCCAGATAAGAAGAGTGGTCAAGGACTTGTCAGTTACTCAGGTAATGAGCAAATGAGCTGGAATTGGAGCCCAGATCTCCACAGCCTCTTTCAATAAGCCCTGGGAGGTCTCAGGTGTCCAGAGAGAAGAGAGGACAGGTTATGGCAATCCCCACTTTGATTTCCCCAATGTTCAAAAAGCCTCTGGTTTTCCCAGTGTTTGGAAGGCTCAGTTCCCTTGTGCTTCTGAGTACACAATTGGTTAATGCAGATGTCTTGGGGGGCAACAGCAGCAGAGACTACCCAAGGACAAGGACCCGAAACCTGCCTCTCACCCCTTTCAGCTCAGGACAAGGTATGGACCCTCTCTCTGCTCCATGGGGAGGACCTAGGCCCAGGGCAGAAAAGTCACATGGGCTGGGACAGATGCTAAGACTTGGCAGCAGCAATGACAAGAGACTAGAGAGTGAGTAAGCAAAGCTACCATGTCAGAAAGGAGCAGTGAGACAATGGGACACCTGGGGTTTCTGTGAGGCAAGAGCTCCAAATATAAGGGTGCCCAGGTCTTAATGTGAGTGATGGTGGCTTCATTGGAACACCATCTCACATCACGACTGGCAGGATTACCTTGGTCTGGACATCCGCTGCTCCCTGGCCATGCTTTCCAAGTAAGTTAGCAGGAGAAAGAAAGTACTGGCCTAAGTGTCAGAATGCCTGGTTCCGCCATGTCCCCTCTCTAGACCACAGTTCCTCATGGACAACTTGAGGCAGGTGAAGCAGGGAAACCAAATGGCACAGGGAGGAACACAGGCCTGAAGTCAAAGTAGGGGATGATCAACTATCCCAGTCTGCCCAGATTGAGGGGGCTCTTGGGGTGCAGGGCTTTGAGTGCTATCACCAGGAAAGTCCCGTACACACTGGAATGAGTTGGGCATCCTAGTCAAAAGACTCAAATTTAGTCCTGGTTTTGGCCCATCCCAAGGTGAAGAAACCATGGACAAGTTGTTTGAGCTCTCAGAGACTCAATTTTCCCACCTGCAAAATGAACACAATAAATATGTGTATCTCACGTGAATCCGATCAGGGTTTCTCAGCCTCAGCACTACTGATATTTGGACCAGATAATTCTTTGTTGTGGGCATGGCTGAACTGTGCATTGTAGAGTTTAGCAGCACCCCTGGTGTCTACCCTCTAGATGCCAGTAACACCCCTCCCAAGTTGTGACAATCAAAAATGTCTCCAGATATTGCCAGATGTGCCCAGGGGTACAACTGCCCCCAGTTGAGAACCTCTGATATAAATAAACAGCCCCACCCCATGCAGTGCTTGGCCCAGAGGCAACTCAGCAAAAGCAACCACACTGTTGTTATTAGATGCCCCTAAGGTCCCTTCCAGCTCTGACGCCAGGAGCCTGCAGGCAGTTTTCTTCGTACATGCCCCAGCTGGCCAGCCACCACCTGAGAGGGGCACAGCCAGCACACTGAGCGGCCAGTGGGACCAGCTGCCAGAATGGGGTCTCATGGGGAATCACGCTGCGATGGCTCATCATGAACTATGTAAATCTAAAGGAGATGCTGCATCTGCCTGTATCTTTATTGATGGCTCACGTCCCCTGAAGGGCCAGGCCCAGGGGGCCAGGGCAGGGAACAAGGGTGTCTAAGAAGGGCTGGTGGGGAAGCTACACTGTTTGACTTTGACCAGAGAAAGGAAAAAAGCCAAAGTCATCTCTGGAGAAATCATCAAAGGCTTATTAAGTTCTAGTCAGTGTTTCACAAACTTCCATAAGTCAAGAACCTGGGATGCTTTCTGAAAAATGCAAATTCCAGGGCCCCACCACTGAACCTCAGAATCAGAGTCTCCAGGGTGGGAGCAGGAGGCTAGGAAGCTGTATTATTATTATTATTACTTTTAACAAACCCAAAGAAACACTTATGTTTAGGGACATTTGAGAAATGCTATTCTATGGCAAAACCAGGAAAACAAACCCACTGCCATTGAGTAGATTCTGACTCATAGCAACCCTACAGGACAGAGGTGAAATGCCCAACAGGGTTTCCAAGGCTGTAACCTGTGCAGAAGTAGATTGCCTCATCTTTCTCCCATGGAGCAGCGGGGGGGTTCAAACCACTGACCTTGTGGTTAGCAGCCAAGCACTTTAACCACTGTGCTACCAGAGCTCCTATTCAATGCCATAATGCTCTAATTCAAGGGTTGACACAATATGCCCTGCAGGCCAAATTTGGCCTCTCATCTGTTTTTGTGTGGCCTGCAAGCTAAGAATGGCTTTTAAAATTTTTTAAATGATCAAAAAGAAAAAATACTCATGACATTTGAAAAAGATATAAAATTCAAATTTCAGTGTTGAATAAAAACTGAACTTTTACTGGAACACAGCCATGTCCATTCATTTATATATATTGTCAATGGTTGCATGTGGGCAAAAACAGTAGACTTCAGTAGTTGCCACCCAGATAATACAGTCTGCAAAGCTTGGAGTACTTACTCTCTGGCCCTTTCTAGAAAAAGTTTGGTGACCCTTGCTCTAATTCACTGCCCATGGCCTCCTTGGACTTGTATGTTATGATACAGCTGTGTTTCACCCACTGGCATTGCTCACATGAGATGCAAATTCACCTGTTGTCACCAGCCTCATATTCTAGGCCTTGCATGACCCAAATCTGTAAAGAGAGCTCACACCTCATCATTCTCCAACACTGATGCTGTGGGGAAACATGTTTGACATCTGTCCACTTTCATCATCTCCTCTATACCTCAAGTCTTACCAGAGCACCCTGGTATGAGTAGCAAATTGCAGTGAGCCACACTGGGCTTGGCTTCCTCGGCACTCCCCGGAGGAGCAGGTCTCAGATTTCATACAGAAAGACTTAACTATGCCCCTACTCCACATCTCTACAAATAGACCCACTAAGTTCTGCCCTGGTTCTAGAACACTTTAGAAGGTGGCTATGAATACTACTCACAGAACTGCACTTCTTCCTCTTCAGAGACTACACTGCCACTTTCCACACCCAGGTAACCTTCAGAATCAACTGAAAATATAGGTTCCAGAGCCCATGCGCCTGAGAGGCTGATGCGGTGAGTCTGGACATCTGTCAACCCAAAAGTGAGTGCAGGTACCTGAGCTTCAATTACTTGGACAGTTTGTGGATATGACCCACTCGATCCATGGTCCCCTATGACCACAGAGCCACCATGCTTCCCTCAATCACCTACCTCTAGACTTCTTCTATGTAAAAGGAAAAAACTCCATTTCTATCTTGCTTTCAGTCTCTGATATTTTAGGTTTTCTGTTATAAGCAGTCAAACTTGTCCAACTTCAATGTTACAAAGAGATTGAGGCCCTGGAATACAAAATGACCACCCAAGGTCACCCAACATGAGTGCCACATTTCTGTGCCTTGTATTGTGCCTTTGTGCTGGTGTACAATTTCTTGTGCACACAGTCTTTGCATGCATACTTTGACTCTTGTGCCACCTCAAAGGCACATGCCTGAGGAAGAAGGATAGATGTTTAATCGTTCTCTCAGGTAAGTGCAGGACATCCTCCGTAAACAATGCAATAACCAGAATTTTATAACCACTGTGCTACCAAAAGTCACTCAAATAATAGCCAATTGGCATTCAGTGTGCTCAGATACGACCCCCGGGAAGGCCAGAAGGTAGTCTCCTAAACCTAGAGAGTAGCCAACCAGGACCAAGACAACAGAGGGCAGAGTGAGGAGTGCACCACCGCACAGCACTGCTCTATCGCCCCCACCCCAGGCCACCCTTCCTCCAGGCCAGCAGAAGAAGCACCTTGGGGAACATGCGGAAGATCTCCTGGTTGATGTGGTAGATGCCGCTGGTGTCCACCTCATACTTGAGTTTCGTCCCCAGGGGAGTGTTCTTCTGCGTGGTAAAGAGGTAGGAGGGGGCATTGCAGCATCTGGACAAAGTGGATCTGCCGGGCAGGGAGACAGATGGAAACACTGGTGACACAGGGAAGAGCAAAGCTATACAAAGAAGAAAAGAGCCATGAACTGAGGTGCCTTGAGGATACCAAGGAGTGCCGACTAATGCCAGGTATCTGCGTGGTCCTCCCCACCCTCCAGTCTCATGCCCACTGCCTCCTCCACACCTTAGCTCACGCTGTTCCCATCCACTTCAGTCTTCCTCCCAGCCAGGCTGGGCCTTCCCACCTCTCCTGACACAGCTTCAGAGCCCAGGTCTGGTTTCCTTCCATAAAGGTCCCAGCTGCTTCCACCCTACTGACCACACTCCCAATGAAGGTGTAGAGCACAAACTGTGTACCACACACTTCGTCATCTGCCAGATCCCTTCCCAGTTGGAGTGAAACCCCTTGACAATAGGGACCATGACTTTTTCGTCCAGCACAATGCTAGTCCCACAAGAGTTCAACACATAGTACCAACACATAGTTCAACCCCTAGGGCTAATCACTCCTCACTCAAGGTTTCCACAGATCTGCTAAGCATCCTACTGTTTCCCAGAAATGCTGTTCGTGCTTCAATCACCCAGTCCTTACTGAAAACCCAGGGGAGCAGAGCCCTTCCTTAGTTTCCTGGTCCCTACAGCAGACTCCAGACAAGGTGCTTACTGTCCAACAGGACACAAAACAAAGACACACACAGTCAACAGAAACATACTGTTTCAAGCATTTTGAAACTTTTTGAGGAATAGGGGAGGGCCAGGAATTGGGATGGAGGGATACTGGATGACTTCCTGTAGGAAGTAGACTTCGGCTTCTGAAAGTACTTTTTGTTGTTGTTGTTGTTGTTGTTAGTTGCCACTAACGTGTGTCACACAGAACTGCTCTGTAGGGTTTTCTTGACTGTAATCTTAACAGGATTGCCAGGGCTTTCTTCTACAGTACTGCTGAGTGGGTTCAAACAGCCACCCTTTAGTTTAATAGTCAAGCACAAACCATTTCCATCACCTAGGGGTCTTTGAAAGAAGGTCTGAAGAGTTGAGGTTTTTGTTTTAATTCACTACACTTTTCATTCACAAAAACACACTCAAACATAAGCTGCAAAAGAGTTACAGCTCAGAGGCAAGCAGGCTTTAAAAACAGCCTCCAAGGAGAATGTGGCTGATGAAGCAGGCTTGGGACTCAGCCCGCCAGACGAGTCCGATTTTTCTCTTCTCTGCAGCTGGTGTGCTACTCAGCACACATTCTCCAAGGCATGTCCATGAGGCTCAGTGATGAGGTCAGATCCTAAGCACATCTTACTCCCCTGGCCCTGGGAACCCAAAGCTCTCCATCCCAGTGAAGGAATAGGATAGTACTGACAGCTCCCTGCCAAATGCCCCCACGTGGACCCTCATTTTTCTCTTGCTGCATCATTTTTCTGTTGCTATGTTACTGGCACAGGGGAGAGAATGATGGGCTCAAGCACAGCAAGGATTGTGAGGCTGGCACAGGAACGGGCAATGTCTCATTCTATTGTACCCAGGGTTGCTATGAGTCAGAGCAGACTCGATGGCACCTAAGAACAACAACAACATGTTATGTCTTTAGAGGTGCTCAGCCTGAACAACACCCTGGTGCCTCTCACTGATCTTGCCATGCAGTGTCTTATCAGCCATACGCTCAATGTATACAAGCCTTATCTGCCCCTAGTCCACATGGGAACAATTCGAAGGGGGCAGATTTTGGGGTATGCCTGCATCAGTCTGGAACTTGCTCCCCACTCCTCCAGCCCTCCACTCAAGTTCATGCTCTGGTTTATGACAGGTGGGTCTCTATATTAGGTAGTAGCAGAGGGTAGGCTTCCACAGCCTCATAGGTACTTCTGGTTTGGGGCTGCTAGTGCCTCCTCTTTCGGGGTTATCACCTGAAATGTTCTCATTTCTTACCATGTGCCTCTTTGCATACAGGGGGCAAAGTTATGGAAACTTCTTACCCACAACCAAACACCTTGGGAGAATGAGTCACTGGGCATGGGGGCTCAGGGCCACAGTCTTGGGAGACATTAAGGTCGGTTGTCATAATACAGTCCACAAAGACAGTGTTCTGCATCTTACTTTGGTGAGCAGTGACTGAGGTATTAAAAGCCTATGAGTGGCTATCTAAGGTGAAACTATTGGTCTCTCCCCATTCAGAGCACAGGAGAGTGAACAAAATCAAAGACACAAGGAACAATTAGTCCAAACGGCTAACGGACCATGTGAACCCAGCCTCCATGACCCTGAGACCAGAACTAGATGGTACCTAGCTACCACTGCTGACCTCTCTGAACAAAATCACAATAGGACGTCCCAAATAGAGTAGGAGAAAAATGTGGAACTAAACTCAAAATCATCATAAAGACCAGGCTTACTGGTCTGATAGAAAGTGGTGGAACTCCTAACGCTATGGCCCTTATACACCCTTCAAGTCTGAAATTGAACTCACCCCCATGCCTCAACTTGTAGCTAAACGGTAGACAAGCCTATAGGTGAACGCCACCAGGGAGGTACATGCTCATTAGAGCAATCAACCATATGAGATCAAAAGGGCGGCATTTGCTCAGGAATAAAGCTCAGCAGGCAGGAAGGGACAAGAAAGGATGAAGGGAAACGGTCAACAAAGGAGGGGAGTGGAGAAGAGCACTGTTACACTGTGGGGATTGCAATTAAGGTCACAAAACAAAGTATGTACAAATTGTTCAGTGGAAAACCTATTGCTCTGTGAACTTCAACCCAAAACACAATTTAAATAAAACAAAACAAAACAAAAACACCTACTATTCTCTAATAGAATGGCAACACAATGTGAAATATGTAACCCATGTCATTGAATTGTACATGTGAAAATTGTGAAATGGATATATGTCTGGTTGTATATATTGTACACACACACACACCATCAATAACAACAACAACAAAAAAAAAACCTTCCTATTCTCTAAGGAACTCTGGTGGTGTAGCAGATAAGGCATTTATTTGGCTGCTAACCAGAAGGTCAGCAATTCAAGCCCAGAAGCCGCTCTGTGGGAGAAAGATGGGGTAATCTACTTCCGTAAAGATTTACAGCCTCAGAAACCCAACGGGGGTTGCTAATGAGTTGGAATTGGCTCACCAACAGTGAGTTTTTTTGGTATTCTCTCTCTAGAGGTGGTCTGGAAGCTGCAAACTGGAACCAATGATTCCTAAAGGAAATCAAGCTACTTAGTGATATTCACTTTCCATAACCTCCCCTATGGACTCCTTCATGCTAATAGCTCCTCAGTACATTTAAACTAGGCCCAGAGTTGACAGAATCCAGTTAGGACACAAATTTCCAGGATGACATTTATTCCATGAAGAAGGTCTACATGCACTAAAATAATACTCTGAACTCAATGAATGGTAGGGATGGAAAAGACCCTAAAGTTCACCATTAATCAAAAAAAAAATTGTTGGATGTCTACTATCTGCTTAAAGACAGGAGCACTTTGGGATTGCCCCTGTCAAGTGTGGCTCAAGAGCAATTAGAAGGTAATCTGCTGCAGTGCTTGAACGCCTGGTGTGGGCTGTAAGAACTGAGGAGTCGGAGCAGGAGAGAGGCTGGCTGCACTGAAGCCAGTGTGGGAGGCAAGGGCAGTGATGCTCTGGAGGACTGCTTACTGCAGAGACCTCCGCGAGCCCTTGAGCAAACTACTTCACCGCTATGAACCTCTGTTAACTCCCACTGTACACGGGGGTGACGCTACCAACCTCGCACAGCTGCTGTAAGACCTCTGAGAGAGAATGTGAAGGACAGCACCTGGCCAGGTGCCCACCTCACCCAGTGTGTTGAGGCAGAGCCTGCCTACACCCCAGATTCCAAAGCCCAACCCCAGCCACCTCTGGGGAAGATGCCAAGAGCTGGCCTCAGAGCATGAGGGACTTCTGCAGGGGTGGGAGTGAGGAATACCACACAGCAGGGGCTGGGGAGGGCAGGTGGCTCATAGATACTTGAACTGGTTGGCTTCAGAGATGTTCATTGCCCACTTGCACATCTGGAGGCTCTTCCACCTGTCGAACAGCTCCGACTGCTTCACCCTTCGGAAGTGGAGACAGAAGAGGGCATGACAAGGTTGAGCTGGATGAAGTATCACTATTTCCAAAATTGTGCCCTTCCCACTCTCCCATATGCCAACTCCTGGGCTGGTCTTCCCCACCAGCCCCCCCCCCAGGGGTCTGTACACTTGCCCAGGAACATCTGTCTATCAAGGGAGGAAGACCCAGCAGGCCCTTGTGAGAGGTGTCTGTAAAACATCAGTACTGTGCTCGGCACACAGTCGGGCTCATGACAAGGACATGCCCTTCTCCTTCTTCCTTCTAGGGCACATCACAATTTCCTAACAGCAGAAACAAAGATGAGAAATCTGAGATATGCCCTTTTTTCCGAACAATCATGCACAGGCTTTATTCTAGTAAGTTTTTCTGTATCTCAGCACTGCAATAGCCTAAAACATTTCCAGCAAAAGGAACATCTAAATCATGAAGGAGTTTCCCTTAGACTACAATCAGCAAGAAAGAATAGTTTTTAAACTATAAATTTATATTTACTTATTTATAATTATACATGGGTTCACTCTGAGTCAGAATCAACTCTGTGGCAATGGGTTTAATGGTAACAGGGCTTCAAGCCAGTTCAAAATGGTTCAGTCATGGCCAACAAAAACAAGGGCAGTGTTCACGCTGCATAGCAACCAAGTATCTTGCACGGCAGATTTTGACCAGTGTACAAAACAGACATAGTGGTTAAGGCATTGTGCTTTGCACCCACCAGTCACTCTGAGACAGTCTGCTTCGGTAAAGATTTACAGCCTTGGAAAATCAACAGGGATCACTATGAGTTGGAATAGGTTTGATGGCAGTGAGCGAGCCAGCGAGCGAGTGAGAAAATAGACACAGGGCCCTGCTCAAAGACAGTGGCTAACACATTCGAAGTAGCAGGTCGGCTGCCATTTCTGAGCAGGGCACCATTGCCTGTTTCCTACCCCGGTCAAAATCCACTGTGCAAGAGATTTGGTTGCTATGCAATGCAAATGCTGCCCTTGTTTTGGTCAGCCATGACTACACTAATTCAAACCAGTTCAAAACCCTGAATGGTAATGGGCTTACAGTTGTTTCAATGTTGCATCTCTAGCTGCTAGAACAGAGTGTAGTAAAATAAATATTTGTTGAATGAATGAATGAACCAAAGCACTGAATACCAGCTGACCGATGTGAGATCCTTATATACATTAACTGTAAATGGTCACTCTCTTCCCTTCCCATTGGTTTTTCTTCTCTTTTCAAGACAGCGTCTAAGCCCGAAGGCCACATACCACATTCCCTACCCCTCTCTCCTACACACACGTCAGAGTTTCTGTTACTCTTCACCTATCTTTGGTCACTTCTATCCCATTTCAGTCAAGAGACTCTCCCTGGGGTCTTACCCAATTCCTTCCTGCTTTCACTTATGCTTTGGTTCTGAGGGCAATTCTCCTGTTCTACAGAAATGCCCAGAATTCTCTCAGCCTCTGAGAGTTCCAGTGAGGCCCTGGCCTGGTGAAGGTCATGAGGCCCAGAAGGACCACAGAGGCTCTGGGGGAGGATGGCAGGACATGCCAAACCACTGAGCTGACTCTTGTTGGGCTCTAGACCCTCAGCAAGGAGACCTGGTGCATCTGAGAGGAGTCATGGGGTAGTGGCTCTACCTTAAGTTCAGCCTAAGCAATACTCCCAGTCAGAATTCCAAGAAGTCAATTGTTGCCAAATTATTGGCCCATTTGCTGTGCCTCCAATACTCTGTCATCCATGAAGCCAGGGACAGAGTCTGGACCCTGAGCCTCGAATCCTGGCTCCATCCCCAACCTGCAATGTGACCTCACACAAGTCACTTAATCTCTCAGAGACTCAACTTCTTTATCTGTGAGATATAATATAATAACCTCTGCCCTGCCAATCTCAAAGATTGTCAGAGAGATCAAATGAGATGATATGTGTAAAAATAGTTTATAAACTGCTTTGCAGGGATTGTCTTTTTTTTTTTTTTTTACGGTGAAGGGCTGACCCCAGACACTGATCTCTTTCCTCCTGAGACACCATTAAAATTCCAGAAAAGGAATTAAAGAGGCATAAAGCTACCAGAGGAACAGCATGATGGGGAGGGAGCTCTCAGTGGAAGAGAAAGTTCAACATGGTTATGGAAAAAGGGGAGAGTAACACTAGGAGAGGATAGCACAGCCCTGGGGACCAAGAGGCCATCTGCCCAGAAATTTGGGGCATAAGGCACGATCTGAAATGAAAATCAACTGTGAGTCTGTATCCAGAACTCAAGCATCAGAATACCAAGTCCACCCCAAGAGTAGTCAGTCATACACTGAATGGGCAGCAGCAGAGGAAGGGAGAATGGAATCAGAAAATAATAATCACTCCCCATGAAAACATCAGGGCCTTCTAGCAGCAAAGAGCCAGTACAACTTGAACAACTCCTCTCAAGCAACACCTGCCAGTTGACTCTCAGTCACAGAACTGCCTTCAGCTTTTTATTGTTTTAAAGATAAATATGAATAGGTAACTAGAGATCACCTGGTCAATCTGAAGGAGAAAGACCAAGATAAACCATCAAATAAAACAGAACTTACTCCACCAAAAACAAAAACAAAAAAATCTAGTTGGTCTCCTTACAGATATTCAAGAAGACATTACATTCTTAAAATAAGAATAGACTGCTCTTAGAATAATGAAAGAGCCCCTGGGGAAAGAAATGTTCATTAGAAGGGCAAGAAGATATAAAGTCAAGGAGTTTCCCCAGAAAGTAGAAACAAAGGGCAGACAGATAAAAAAAGATTAAATAGAAAGACAGGAGTACTGTGATGAATCCTATTGGAGTCTTAAAAGCTAGCAAGCAGATAAGATGCAACTATTGCTCTCTCTCCATCCACAGGAAAGAAAAGTAAAGAAAATCAAAGATTCTAAGAAAAAAACTCAAAGACCAAAGGACTAATGGACCATGCAAACCACAGCCTCCACTACCCTGAGACCAGAAGAACTAGATGGTGCCCAGCCACTACTACCGACCACTCTGGTTGGAATCACAGAAGACCCTGGAAAAAATGAGAGAAAAATGTAGAACAAAATCCAAAATCATGAAGAAGACCAGATTTACTGGTCTGGTAAAGTTTGGCAGAACCTGCAAGACTGTGGCCCTTAGATATCCACCCTTCAAACTGGAAGTAAACTCACCCCTGGGGACCACCTTTCGGACAAACAACAGATAAGCCTATAAAGAGAACAATAACATTTGTGAGGAATGTACTACTTAGAACAATTAACCATAGGAGACCAAAAGGGAAGTATCTGCCCCAAAACAAAGCTCAGAAAGCAAGAAGGAGCAGAAAAGAAGGACAACAAATGGTGAACTAGGGAGGAAGTGGAATGAGTGCTGTTACACTGAGGGAACCACAACTATTGTTACAAAACAAAATATGTTCAAATTGTTGTATGGAAAACTAATTTGCTCTGTAACCTTCTGCCCAAACCACAATTTAAAAAAGATATGAGTGCTAGAGCAGCAATCCAGAAGCTCCTGTATTATGTTCTAGAGAGAGGAAATACAGAAAAACAGAGAGGAGGAAATACAAAGAAATTCAAGAGAAACTTTAAAAGTTGGACAAGATTTCCAGACTGAGAGGTCCCACTGGGTGTCTATCCCAAGGCACATCACTGGGATAGTTCAGAACTGTTGTGATCTGCAAAGATTGCAGAAAGAAAAAGCAGGTCACCTCAAAGGACTTTTCACCCAGCACTGGATGCTAGAAGATGATGGAGAAGATCACCAACATTCTGAGGAAAAGTGATTTCAGCCTAAAGTACTCTCCCCTGCCAAACTGACAAGGAGCCCTGGTGGTGCAGTGGTTATGTGCTCAGCTGCTAAAGAAAAGGTCAGTGGTTCAAACCCATCCACTGGCTTCTTGGGAGAAAGACGTGGCAATCTACTCCTCTAGAGATGACAGCCTAGAAAGTCTTATGGGGCAGTTCTACTCTGTCACATGGGGTTTTGATAGCACCTAACAACAATCAAAGTGACGGTCAAGTTCAAGGGACCCAAAATTTTACCTCCCACCCATCATTTTTTAAGAATTTACTTGAGGATGGGTGGAAGCAAATGAAGGAATAAAGAAGGAAGAAGCTATAGGTTCTAGGCAAGGAGAATCCGACCTAAGAAGGAAGAGAAGGGAAGTCCCAGGATAACGCCCATGTGGCCCACCAAGAGTGCAACCTGTTTCAGTTGCAGCAAGCGGACAGGCAGAAACCCTGGGGGAATGGCTGGTTGAAGGAAAACCACAGGGGGAAAAAAAACTCACTGCCATTGAGTCAATTCTGACTCATAGTGACCCTACAGAATAGAGCAGAACTGCCCCATAGGGTTTCCAAGGCTGTAAATCTTTATGGAAGCAGACTGCCTCATCTTTCTCCTGCAGAGTGACTGGTACGTTTGAACTTGGCCATTTAGTTAGCAGCTGAATGCTTTAACCACTGCACCACCAGAGCGCCCTTGCTGAAGGAAAGGCAGGAAAAAAAAAAATAGGTCATGATTCTAAAGTTTATTAGTGGCCACCAGGGGCGCTCTGGTGGCGCAGTGCCTAAGGCATCTGACTGCTAACCAGAAGGTTGACGGTTCAAACCCACCAGCCACTCTGCAGAAGGAGGACTGGGCAATCTACTTCCATAAAGATTTACCACCTCAGAAATTCAATGGGGGTTACTATGAGTCAGAATTGACTCAATGGCAGTGAGTTGGGTTTGGTGAATTTGGGGGTGGGAGGGAGGGGGAGGGAATTTGTTTATGATGATGGAAATTTGACGTATTGGTGATGGAAGCAAAAGCATGATTACTGTAACTGATGTCACTAAACTGTACATGTGAGAAGTGTTAAACTGGCAAATATGGTGTTATATTTTACTTTTACAACAACAATGAAAGTCATGATAGAGATGAGTTCAAGGAGGAAAAAAAACAACTAGAAGTTCCAAGAAAACAGAAAAACTGTAACAAGGAGCTGGAA